AAATATTGTACCAACATGGTAAACATGATTCTGTCTTAATAATAACTTAAATTACAGAAACCCCCATGTCAATATGTTGAACTTACAGTTTTCTCTCTTTTTTGATACATGTGATATTGTGCTAGACAATGGATGGTAGCACTCTTCCATCCAATAAATCCCACCATGCCCATCCCAGGATACGAACTCAAGACCTCCAAGATGAAGCCTTAAGCTCTAACCTCTGGGGCCTCTAACATGGCCTAAATTGTAAAAGTATCATACATGGAGACAATATATAGAAAATGACAAAGTTTAGCAAAAGTGCCCCCTACCTTGTTAGGTGCGTTTTAAAAGGCACAAACGTTAAAACGATGTGCTGAAAGGAGGGTTTAGCAGCTTGTGCCAAAACAAAATATTAAAAATGTCAGATCAACGGAGTCAATTGACTTTCCACATTTTTTAAATAGGCTTCAGTGTGAACACAGCCCTTGGTCTGAATTAGAATATCATTTCATTTCAAGTCTTAAGAATGAGGATCTTCTATATGCTACTTCTCTTTCCTATATAAGCATCTTTTCAAAGAAGAAGGAAGGAGGGGCCCAGGGAGGCAATTTGATAGTTACCAAATCTTCCATGATGGAAAGATTGACATTTGCACATCTCTTTCCATATGCCATAGCTACTAACCTTCTTGTCTTTCCTATCTGCAAAGGTTCAGAATGAAAATAGGAAACTCCACAAAAGTCATTCTCATATTTCAAGCGATACCGAAATAATAGAAATCGAACAAAACTGCACTAGATTTCCACTCTAAAGCCCAAATAAAGGCAAATATATAGAATTAAGTTCATCTTAGTTGAGCAGCTGTCATTATCATCCACAAGAAAGGCCATGCATTTGATGCATATTCACCACAACAGTGGTAATAAGCACTTAATTGAAAATTTGCTGGATTGCATTATCATGCTAGTGTTGCATTATCAGATATCTTTAAAAGCCTGTATTAAGAAAATTAATCACAACTCCTTAAGCATTTTACACTGCAAATACACAATTGATCTCCATAAGTTTTGCAATCTCATAATTCACCTTGTAAGTTTCTGCAAAAATTTTTCTAACAGCAAGGGCACAGCCATTGTCAACCATATTTACAGCAGAATATTAATCAACTTGGATAATCATACCTTGCATAGCTCCAACACTGCTGCAACATGATGACTTTTCGATGTGACTTTGAACGTCCCATTTTCCACTTCTTCTAAAGTCTGTAAAAGAAGCGGAGTGAAACAAGATTTACTACAAAATTTATGCTACAAATCTGAGTCATTAAAAGAAATTACATCATAAAGGGATGCAAATTTCCAGGACTAAAACTTTATGTTCATAAATTGTATTTCCATGTAAGGAATAGCAGCAATATCTATTAATAGTCGTGTTTCCAAAATGGAAGAGCTTTGCTTTTTGGGCTTTTATGATGCAGTACCAACGCATCATATTATGCAATTTTCACTTTATTGATATTTGAAATCTTCATTTTAGAGGCATGTTTTCTTTGATTTCCACTACAGCCAATGGTCAAATCTCAAAATGGAACTTATTCTCAATAATAAAGCAATATTTCACATTTTAAAACACATTATAAGTGACCACCACCACTTTTCCAGAATGTTAAAGTTCAACAACTTAAGCATGATATAAGTAGGGTAAGAATTAAATTAACATCATAGGAAAATGTATCATCAGCAAACAAGCACAAATCAAATGCAAAAAATAACATGAATTTGGAATTTTTGTCTAAAAGAGACAGATATAGAGTCAGAATTTTCCAAATATAAACTAATAAAAGGACAGCCAGAGCAAATGAAAATATAGAAATATAGAACCTTGAGGAACTCTGTTGGTACTCCAGCTAGCTCATTCTCACGGAACAAAAGATAAGTGCTATCATCATTCAAATTCTGAACATATTGAAAACTTAGCTCATCAATTTGAGCTCTCAAGCGTTGCACCTCTTCTCTTTTTGTTGCTGTAAGATTTAATCCATTCCGTTCAAAGTCTCTGATCTGTCACTGGTCAGAAAGGAATCAAGACTAGGACTGACCAACTCAACCACTAAATAAATGTTAAAAAGATTCAAAACAATGAAACGTTAGTGTTTTAAAGCACAGTACATTAAATTATACAACCTCATCTGGCCATTCCTTCTGTATAAAACTAAAGCTAAAATTTTCACTCCTAGCAGGGGATTAGCTACAAATGTTGAACCCCATGTCACAATATGAGTAACAAACATGAGAAAGTGTAAATATTTCCCTTACCAAGCAATGGACATAGTGTCTAGCTTCTGGGCCCATCCATTCCCCTTTTGCAGCAAAAGCTTTAACAACAAGGTATACATCTTCCCGCTTACTGTCAATTCAGCACCCCATGAAAACAGCAGAAATGTTCAACTAGATACTTAGTATACAAATTGGAAAGTAAAATTTTTATATCTACAAATACTTACAAAGGCATACTAGATTAAATTAGATCAATAGTTAAGATTCAAAAAACTATTACCAACTAAATGAAAAATAACTAAAAGCATAAATAGTATATCTTGATTCTGATATAAGTCATAAACAAGTGAACTAAACCTGCAGGAAGAGGAATGTGCATCTATTTTCTTCTCCGCTTCAGCGCTTGCTTTACGCACTTTATCTGAAGTAGAAACCAACTTTGGAACCACACATGATTGCGCCAATGGAAACTGCTGTGCCTCCAATTCTGCCAATGGTGATATAACATTCTTATACGTAACCTGAGAATTTTTCAAAAAAAATATAAACAGATATCTATTTCAGTCTTTCAAATGTAGAAATAGGCAAAAAGAAAATCAGAGAAAAAAAAGTACTGAAATTATGAAAACCTTATCGAGCGGTACTGAAGCAACGGCATCATGAACTTCCTTCGATTTTGCAATAATTCGGTCAGCTAACTTTAGAATCTCACTCGCCGACAAATTAACTCGAAAATTACATCCCCGAAGATCTAAATTAAAATAAAATTAAAAATAAGAAAAAAAGAACTTAAGTACGACATTTAAAAGAGTAGCAAGCAAGTAAAAAAGAAAAGCAGTAAAAAAAACTATTGAAAAAGAAAAAATTGAAGTGACCTTTTTTCTTGGAGTTTCTTCGGTTGTTAATGGCGGTAATCGCAAGGCTAACAGCGAGAGTGAGAAGAGCGGCAGCTCCGGTGAGTGGTATGATGTTACTTCCTTTCTTCGGTTTGCTGCTCATTTTCTTCTCACCGTTTCCTTCGCTTTCCATTGCGTCTTGATTTTTACTTCTTCCGCTATTTAATTTTCTTTGGAGCCAAACGACAAGTGAGGGGGTTAGATTGGGAGGGAAATTTCCGTCATTCGGAGCGGAAAAAAAAGTTAAATTTAATTTAATATTGTGAATTGGAATGCAAAAAAATTTTGGATTGTTGACTTTTCGTGAGTGATTTTTGCTTTCATTTTTTAAAATTATTTAAAAAATGGATGCGAGTTTTGGTAGAACCGTAGAGCTGTCGTTTTTGAGCGTTACATTTCACAAAAAATGGCCGGCCCTTCAAATATGGTTACATTTCAATCGTGGCCCTATATCTGGTTGGATTGCATCTGATTTCGGGAATTTTACGGAGCTTAAAACAGTCATGGCCTTATAGGATAGCAGCCTCGTACTTACAATGTGGGCTCCAGACTGGCAGTTCTGTGCGGTGCACTTTTTTTTACTATAATAATTTGATTCATCAATCCCTTTCTTTCTTTCTCTTATTCATCAATACTTTTTATAATTTTTTATCCTTTTCTTTCATAAATGAATTAATCATTCAAAAGCTCACTTAATTAATTTATTTTTTTAATTACAATTATAATAATTTTATTTTTTTTAATTTATCAATAATTAATTTAATGTTCATTCAAATGAAATTTTAAAATTCATTTGAATGCAATCAAACCTACCGTGGGTTACAGTTCAATATAATGCACAAATTGCAAGGTCTCAACATAAGTTTTAGATCAATATCACTTTGCACATCAAAATTTACAACTCATTCTGTTTTGCATGATGGCAATAAAGATAAATTTTAGTAGAATATTACTTTTTTATGTGATTCGAAAGTTCAAAAATTTTAAAGAATATCATTTGAGTATTAGCTAAATGGCATGATCAAATTCACTAAAATTCTAATTTAATAAGATTTAAGCATGTAATGTTTTTATCAAATGAGTTATGTAAAAGGTTGAGATAAAATAAATAAAAAATTTTCAAAAAATAAATTAAACAAGGATTGTTGAATTAAAAAAGTTTGATTATTTTACTTGAAATATTTAGATTCGGATATTTAGATTATTTTACTTAGAATATTTAGATTAAGATATTTTAGTTAATCATTTTTTTTTGTGAATATTTATAAATTTAATGTAATTCTTTTATGAAACTTTTGATATATTTTATTTTTGGAATAAAAAATATTTTTCATGATAAACTTTTATGTAAAAAAAGAAATTAAAAAACAAATATAAATAATAAAAAAAACCCTCCAAGTTTCTTGTTAAACTATTCGATCTAGATTTAATTATGAAGGAACTTTTGTATCAATAAACATTTTCATAAGCAAAGTTACTCCTTCGAAGTTCACAGACTCGGTCGACTTCAGATAAAAAATGAGTTTAAATTTTTTTAATTATAAATTTAATTAAATATTATATTTATATAATTAAATACTATATTAAATTATTAAATAATAAATTACTAAATTATAATATAATTAAATAATTAAATTCACACGAAATAAAACCCACAGCTAAGACTGCAAGATTTTTAAACATGAGTTATACCCCATCTTACTTCGAAATTATTATTCTATTAATAATCATATGTTTTGTTTTATTTGATTTTGATTTTAAAACAAAAATAAAAATATAAGAACAATCTTAACATGTCAGATTTTTTTTTTTTTATTTCAACAATAAAATATTTAATGTACATGGGCAGGGGTCCGGCTGTGGACAGTAAAGAGCCTATTCCTAACAGATAGCCTAGTTGCGTTTTGCTTCTTCAGTTCACAGGGCTTAAGGCCCATTTGAAAGGAGTCCATTGCTCCAAGAGGAGCAAAACAAGAGAAAACCGAACGCGAAGAAGAGCAGGAAAGACCGTCAAATCCTCAAAAATGCCGATCTATCAATTTCTTTCATCCGTTTGGTAAACGAGAAAAAAAAATCTGATTTCTCCGTTGCAGCAGATCAATGGCTCCGAAGCCCAAAGAGAAGCCAAAAGGGGCTCCATCGCCGTTGCAGCCTCCACCCCCTATCGAAGATCTTTTTACTTCACTCGACAGACACATCCAACGATCTGAATTCACACAAGCCGTCAAAGTTGCAAATCAAGGTTCATTTCGTTGATGATTTTATTTTCTTTTCAAATCCGATCACATCTGATCAATTGAACTTTATTTATTTAATTTTAAATTTACGCAGTTCTGTCTGTTGCTACCGGAGATGAGGACGCCATTCGATGCAAAGTTGTGGCGTTGATAAAGGGCGACAAGATTGAGGAGGCTCTCTCAACAATTCAGTCTGTTCAGAAGGTTTCTTTTGATTTCAGTTTCTACAAGGTCGGTCAGTTCCCGTAACTTTTTTTTTTTTTTAATTTTCCTTTGTATTTTTATCTGATCTTAGTTTCTTTCACCGCATTTCGTAAATTGGTCGTATTAGTTTAATTGAATCCCACTACTGATTTGAACTTTCTCGCATTTGGATACAAAAGTAAACAATGTTCTTGAAAATAAAATTTGAAATATTAAATATTGTAAATTAATTGTATTTACTTTGATTGGTTTGTGATTCAGTAGAATGATTTGGGAAGTTCACAAGTCAGAGTTCGAGTTCTTGATTTTATTGATTGGCTGATTGCATTTTTTCATAGTCTTTAGAAAGGTTCTTTACCATTTGTAACTGGTATGCAAGTATTTTTTTAATTATTTTTCAGTGTTATCTTTTCTTTCGTTTCCTTTTTTTTCCTTTTTAATGATTCATGCATGTTTGTGCAAGTAAATAGATTGACCTGTTTATTAATGGTGCACCCTGCATATAAATTTTTTATTTCTAGATATTTAATTTATTTGATCAATAATAGATCACCACATCTTGGCTGCATGGATGTTCCAAAAATTTTACTTATTTGTATTGATATTCTTTTTTATCTTGCTATCTCTAAATAGGCATATTGCCTATATAGACAAAACAAGTTGGATGAAGCCTTGGAGGTTTTGGAGAAGCAAGATAAGACTCATCCAATCATGTTGTTAGAATCTCAGATTCTATATCGTCTAGGAAAAATGGATGCTTGTGTTGATATCTGTCGGAATCTTCAAAGAGCGAAGATTGATTCCTTGGAAATAAATTTGGTTGCTGGTTTGATTTCAGCTGGGAGAGCTTCTGAAGTACAAGGAACTTTGGACACACTTAAGGTTAAGGCAACTAGCAGCTTTGAGTTGGCATATAATATTGCTTGTTCTTTAATTGAAGGAAATAAACATAAGGATGCTGAACAACTCTTGCTCACGGCCAGAAGGTACTGCAGTATTTTGTTTGGATGTTTGTTATCTTGAGAAAAATTTTCTTGTTACTCAATATTGTTGGTGTATTAATGTTTAATGTTATTAGTAGATCCACATTTTGCTTATGTTTTGGTCTAGTATTATGTTGCAATAATATCTTCAGATAAAGCGAGAAAGGGATCAAGCATATATTTGTGGGCCTTGTTTATCTTGGAATTTACAATTATAAAAACAGTCTAAGCGTGCTAACTGTTTGTATTTTTAGCTTGATCTGTTTTTGAATAATTTTGTTTATTTAATTTTCATTATCAATTTTATTTCAGAAAATACACAGTTGAGAGATCGTTCCATTTGCAAATTGATATATTATGAGAAAACAGTAGGGATAATCAAAAAGGTTCTTGGCATTAAGCATTCAAAAATGATTTTATAACTCTTTATCATTTTATTGTTCTCTAGATGTTGCTGAGTTTTATAAATTGGTTTTCTTTGGCTAACCCTATGCATTTCCGTCTGGCATAATTTTAAAACAGGCACCTCTTGCTTTCCTTGAAGCACAATAAAATGCTTGAGAAATTTTAAACAAAATATAGCTTTTAAATAAGCTTTCGGATGATTATTTTCTATCAATCCTTTTTCAGATGGAGAAAGAGGTAATGTTGAAAAGTGAAATTAGAAGTTTGAACTGATATCATAATGATGGTCGTGTTAGTTTCATCTCAGATTAAGGTTTTTCAGTCTAGTGCCCTGGCTTTTCAGTGAACTGAGATAACCCGTTGCTTAGCTTATGTGCTGGGATATTCAGATGTATCCAGATAGTTGTAGACCATCAATTTACTAACATCAAATGCTGATATGCATGTTTTTTCTTCTTTTCATCTGCTTTTGTTAGAATTGGTCAGGAAACACTGACAGAAGAGAACCTTGCTGATGATGATATAGAGATTGAATTAGCTCCTATTGCTGTTCAATTAACTTATGTTCAGCAGGTAAAATAACAGCAAAATCCAAGCATTTTCCTTAATATTTCCCTTATTTTCTCTACTTCCTGTGAAGGTAGGTAATACAGCAGCCACTAATGTGAATCAGCTTGCTTTATCAGCTCCTTGGTCACACACAGGAGGCCGTTGGAGGTTATACAGATATTGTAAACCGAAATCTGGCAGATGAACTATCACTTGCAGTGGCAGTCAACAACCTTATTGCAGTGAAAGGTCCAAAAGATATATCTGATAGCTTAAGGAAACTTGATCGGCTTAAAGAGAAAGACTCACAGAAGTTTCAGCTTGCGCATGCAATTGACTTGAAGCTGTCACCAAAACAAAAAGAGACAATATATGTGAATCGTGTTCTTCTGCTTCTCCATGCAAATAAGATGGACCAGGTTTTCTATTTTGAGATTTTGCATTTCTCAGTTTTGGTCTGCATTGTTTTTCAGCCCTCTTTTTTTAGAAGAAAGACAGTCAACTAATGAATTTGGCAGTTCTTATTTCATCTATTTGTTGGTGAAATTCTACAGGCTCGGGAACTTGTTGCTGTGTTGCCTGAGCTATTTCCTGAGAGTGTGATGCCAGTACTGCTTCAAGCTGCTGTCTTGGTGAGAGAAAACAAGGCAGCGAAAGCTGAAGAAATGTTGGGTCAGTTTGCTGAGAAATTCCCTGAAAAATCAAAGATCATTCTCTTAGCAAGGGCACAGGTCGCTGCTGCTGCTGGCCACCCTCAAATTGCAGCTGAATCCCTCTCTAAGGTGCCTGATATACAGCACATGCCTGCCACTGTTGCCACTCTTGTTGCTCTCAAAGAGCGTGCTGGAGATATAAATGGTGCAGCTTCTGTGTTTGACTCTGCAATCAGATGGTGGAAAACTGCCATGACTGAAGATGACCAGCTCAGTGTTATTATGCAAGAGGCTGCTTCCTTTAAGCTCAGGCATGGCAAGGAGGAGGATGCTGCCCATCTATACGAGGAGCTTGTAAAAAGTCATGGAAGCATAGAGGCATTAGTTGGGCTGATAACTACAGTTGCTCGTGTGAATGTTGACAAGGCTGAAGCTTACGAGAAGCAACTGAAGCCATTACCAGGTTTAAAGGGGGTTGACGTGGATGGTTTGGAGAGAACTTCTGGGGCAAAACATGTTGAAGATGCTCCTCATGGTGGGCTTTCTGAAGCTCAAGAGGATGGTAAGACTAAGGAGAAATCAAAGAAAAAGAGGAAGAGAAAGCAAAGGTATCCCAAAGGGTTTGACCCGGCAAATCCAGGTCCTCCACCAGATCCAGAGCGATGGCTTCCCAAGAGAGAAAGGTCAAGTTACAGGCCTAAGAGAAAGGATAAGAGAGCAGCTCAGGTGAGAGGCTCTCAAGGTGCAGTAGTTAGAGAAAAGAGTGAAGCTAGTGCCTCGGCTACCAATTCTAATAGTTCTAACTTGAAATCAAACCAAGGTACTAGTGAAACTCAAGGCGTTTCACAGAATGCCAAGCCATCCAGACCCCAATCTAAGTCATCAAGAAAGAAGTCGAGAAATTAACAACATTTTTGGGGTCAGAAAGTTTTGAATTGTTTCACATTTAAGTTATGTGTTCGACATGGATCTTGATAGCAAGAGTTTAACTAATTTTGTGATATTGTTTTCAAATAAAACCTATCAAATCCTGAGGATTTTTGGAGGGAGAGTTAAGGTTCCATAATTTCATTGGATTTTGTTATATTTTATTGTACATTTGTCACGGATCATTTCCTTGATAGTGAGCTATGACCTCTTTTTACTCTTCACGAAGGCATTTCTAAGAAGGTTGGAGACAAGGTAAGAAGATTATTGTTTCTTTGCTTTTTAAGGTTGATTCATGTGATGCAGTGTCAGCTTGTAACGCACAAGTTGGATAGAGGTAGGGTTTACACATTATTATTCTTTGGTTTAGTGTCCATTCCTTTCAAAATGTGGACACCTAGAATTTAATGGAAGAATTTTCTAGGTGTCGACTTTTCTTGTCAGTCAGCCAAAGGTTGTCCTTAACTCTCCTAAACGAACTAGAACATGTCCTTGGAGTCTGGGTTAGCTTCCCTATAGTTGAAGCTACTGGTAACCTTGCAGATGACCTCCTCTCGTCTCCGAGGAATCGGGTGCTTTGGCTAATTATTGGCTTGAGGAAGAGGGAAATTTGGTGCGGACTAAGTGCTTTTGCTGCGGTTGGGTTCAAGAATGTCTTTGAGATTGATATGTTATTGAAGCTGATGTTTGGAGGTTTTAAATAGGAATGATAATGTTCTGAATTAAATGAGATTTATTTTGATTTAAGATAATGTATAATTATAAAAATTTTTAAAATTTAATTCGAACTCGAATTATTTTTTTTAAATTAATCTAATTTGAATCGTATTTATTAGTTTAGTTAAATTCATTGATTTTTAAAAATTAATTTTTTATTTATATATATTATTTTAATATAATTTTTAATATATTTAAATAAATTTAAATATAAAATAATTATTTTTATTTTATAAGAATTTAAAATATATATTAATAAAATATATAATTAAGTGGGGTTTGATTTTTTTTATTTTTCATGATTTAAATTTTGATATAAATTTAATATATATATGTAATATTTAAATTGAATAAAAATATTTAATACGAATTAAATTGAATATTACTTGAATTGAATAAAAAGATTTTGGCATGAATCAAATTGAATATTATCATTTTGAATTAAATTTTTTCTCTCCTTTAGTTACGGGTTTGAAGAAGTTATTTAAGTATATAATTTTTTTTTAAACTATAAAGGTGAGAAGGTAGATAAGAAATTAAAAAAGAAAAGTGTCTTTGAGCTTAGCATTTTAGACGGGGTCGTTCATGGCTGCAAGTTACGGTGGATTCCTTGACCGGTCTTGGCAATCAGCAAGCGTAAGCGATCGAAGGTGGTTTTTGTTGAACCTTTGACATGGTCTCTTTCCATCTTAAATCTTGACGGCCACGTACTTCCTCACCAAGTTGATAACAAAAATTGAGTTACTTCCTCACCAAGGCGGATGATAAAAATGTAGTTTTTCAATGATAGTGATATTTTTCATTTCACATCATAAGTTACTTAGCTCTTACGCTTTTCTGACGAAGATTCTACATTTCCAGACTGTTCCGGTCTATTCACCTTTTGCCTCCGCAAACCATGATGTCTTTTGCTCTGAACTAATAACATAATCTTGTTGAAAATATTTTTCAGCTCAACTATTTTCTTTTATAGGTTATGGATTTTTTTTATTGACTTCAAAAAACTATATTTAATTTTCATGCAAAGTCAAAACAAGAGCAACGTTGAAATGCTAATTATCTTTTTAAATGTATTTATTTGATATGTTTCATAAGAAAAAAGAGTAAAAATCCAAATCTTTTTTTTTTTTTTTTGGGTTGAAAGGTTTTCTAGTGACGTTAGTGATGACTCAAAATATATGTTTTTTAATTCAAATTAAATAATCATTAAATTTTTAAATGTTTATTTTTATTCAATTAAAATTTTATTAAATAAAAATTGATTAATTGTTATTATCAATATTCATCCAATCAAAAACTTAATAGGGTAAAAATAAATATTTAAAAATTCAATTGAACAAAAATAAATATTTAAAATTTTATTAATTATAATAAAATAATGAAAATTCAAATAATTATTTATTTTAATTAAAATTTTTCTATATTTAAGCCTTGAATTAAACCTATTTAATCTTGGAGTTGGAATTACTTTTTGGTACTATTTTAGCCATACAACTTCAAAGACACGTACCCTCTCCACCAATCACATCCCATTCCTCTATGCCTTCCCTCAACCGCCCGATTAAAATCCAACGGTCAAAAACTCTCATTCTAATTAAGGAAATCTAGGGAAAGCTAGCTAATAAATTAAAAAACAAAATTCTCAAAAATTTTTATACAACCGACACCTGTCCATTTACCACTTCATTTAACTCTTCTAAAATAGGAGCCAATTTTCACCGATTTCACCGCTACCCCATTTCCGCCCCCTCCTTCCTAGCGACATTCCCCATTCTCTCTCTCTCTCTTTTTATTTTCTATTTTCTCTGTCGCGTCTTCTCGCTCTCGACAGAAAAAAAAAAAAATAACACCTCTTCCTCGTTTCTGTATTGAATCGAGTTTGCCAATTTGTCAACCACCACCAAACCCCCCAAAAAAGAAGAAAATTTTACCAAATTTGGCCCTAATTCGAAGGGGTTTTTATTTATTTGGAATCCAAGAAAGACTTCTTGGAATAATCTCTGTCGATTGCGTTTCGCGGGAGTGAAATTAGGGAATCTTTTTTGGTGGTAATTTGAATCTTAATGTGGATTTGGTTATCCATCAATCCAGGTTTTCTTCTTTGATCTATCTTTTTCTTTTTTATTATTTAGTTTCTTTATCTATTTGATTCGTCGCAAACCCTAGTTTTGGTTAGGTTAGTTTTGAGGGATTTAAAACTTTAAAAAATAAAAATTGAGATTAGGAAATTTAATTGATTCTTTTTCTGTGTATATAGAAGTTAGATTGCGCTACCGTTTTGTGTTTCCCCTTCTAGGGATTGTAGTTGCTGTTTAGGTATCTTAACACAAGAAAAACTCTGTGAAATTTTTGGTGCGTTGTTTTAGTTTGCCATCCAAAATCGAGGGTTTTTTCTTGTTAGATTAGATCCTCCACCAAATTATCCCGTTTTCTTTTTTTCTTTTAATTTTTTAATTTCATTTTGTTTCTTTCTATCTGTTATCATAGCCCTCCAAAAAAAAAAAAAAGAAAAAAAAGATAGTAAGAAGAGGAATTTTTAGGGTTTGCATTAAAAAAGATATTTAGGGTTTTTGGTGAAATTTATTACTATATATAGAGGAAAGAAAGATTGGGAATTGGTTGTAAATAGAACGATGGCGTTGAATTTTTCCCATCAGCCTATCTTTCCTGTTCATTTGACTGAAGATAATCTGGTTTCTCCTATGAGAATCGTGAATGGGTACCTTGTTGAAGGCATCCCAGAGAAGAATGGAGATGGGTGTTGGAGATCTTGGCATTTAAATCATGAAATGGAAGATTGCTTTGATCATGGGAGGGATAGGGGTGGTGGTCGATGTGGTTCTAAGGAGTTTGTTTCTAATGATATTATTGATCTTTTGCCATCGGATCCTTTTGGAATGGATATAACCACTACTTTCACCTCAATTACTGGTTGGCCTGAGGATTTGGAAATTGATTATGGCCGCTATGTGAGAGATGAGGTGGGGACTGGTGATGGGAGTTATCAGTTGTTTACCGGATTGAACTTTATTTGTAATAATGCAATGTGGTTCCAAATGTTCCCTGGAAGCACGGGGTTTAAAAGTAAAGGTAGTGTATCTGGTGGATTTGATGTTTGTTCTCAGGTGAAGCAAGGAGGTTATTTGTCTGGTCATGCTGGTCTTGGATTGGCTTGTAATGTAGGGGAAAATTTGCATTTGGGGAATAAAGGAATGGTTTCTGTTGACCAGGAAAATGAAGAATTTCAGGATTGTGAGGGTTGTTCTGAGGGACCTGAAGGAGCTCCTCATGAAGCTCTGATTTTGGCCCTTGGTTATCTGGGTGTGCAGGATCTTCTTGTGGTTGAAAATGTTTGCACATCTCTGCGATCTACAGTTCAGAATGATCCCCTTTTATGGAGGAGTATTCACATAGATCAACCACTAAACGAGAAGATTACTGATGATGTTCTTTTACAGATAACCAGTAGGGCTCAAGGTAGCTTGCAATGCTTGAGCCTGGTAGATTGCCAAAGGATTACTGATGAGGGCCTTAAGTGTGTGGTTGAAAATAATCCAAAGCTAATCAAGGTTAGTTTGTTGCTTTGAAATTTTAATTCCTATGTTAGCATCTATATCTTGGGTTGTATGGGTACCATGTTGTTGGTGTATTTGTTCATGCCCTTATGCTTTTATATGTTTGTCTGCATTTGAGTTAACCAAAGCATTATATTTACTGGAATATAACTGAAGATGCTTTCATGTTGTAATATGACTTAGTATTGTTATATTTTGGCTGAGTGGTTTTGCTATCTACTCTCTGATTTTTTTTTTTTGGGGTACTGTCATTGATTGTTTGCAGGAGATTGTTTTAAAAAAAAATTATAAACATAGTTATGAATCTAACGCCTAACAGTCTTTAGACCCATCCACAAGATGATGAATGTGTATTCACATGATATTTGAATATATATCGAACCAAGAAATAGTTTCGCCCCTAATAGAGGCATGTAAGAAAGCAGGATTACTACAGGTTAGTTTGCCTGGATTTTTTATGCTTGAACAACATTTATTTGTAGGTCTAATGCATTTACTGAACTGGTCAATGTTACTTTCATCTTTGTTGGGTTGAATGTTTTAGCTTTTATTTGGCTAACATGCCTTGTTGCCTCACTATAAATCAAAATCAGATCTTTGCATTTTAATGTAATGATAAACATAGGGAATTTGTTTTGAGGGCTTTTTTAAATGCATGTAAAACCTAAGTTTTGGAAGAAACAAACAGATGTTGGCTGGTGATATTGGAGTACTAGCTTTTGAAGCATTTTTCAAAACTTAATTGGGAAATTTCATAATTGTCTCTGTTTTCTTTGGGAGTCTGGTTTTTAATTTTTGTTGCTGTGATATTTTGGTTTAGTTCAATATATTTTTTCTACTCTTTTATATTTGGATTAATATTTTTTTTTAATTTTTTAATTGTAAGCTACTAAATATTTCCTCGTTGTAGTTGAGTGTACCTGGATGTAGAAGACTAAGTATCGAGGGTATTTTGAGTAGCCTAAAGGCTTTGAAATCTATGGGCACACAAGGGGTGAAGCGTTTGAGGATTGGTGGGCTCTATGGTGTGACACATAAGCATTTTGAAGAGCTGAAGTTATTGTTGGGGATGGACAACCAGATTCATCCGAATGTGCACAAGCCACAAATTTATAACAGAAGAAATGTGTCTCTCTCTTGTGAAGATGATCGTGCCATTGATGTTGAAGTGTGCCCAAGATGCCAGAACATTAGGCTTGTTTACGATTGTCCTGCTGAGGGTTGTCAGCTAAAAGAACATTCTGCTCAGTTATGCAGGGCATGCACTCTTTGCATAGCAAGGTGTGTTCAGTGTGGTCAATGCATTAATGATGGTGAGTATGAGGAAACGTTTTCTCTGGATTGGCTTTGTTCAGATTGTTGGAAGCTACAACTTGCAAAAGTGCCAGGAGAGGCAGAATAGGATGATTGGCCTGTCCAATTTACCTGCGCTTGAACAAACTGGCAATCTTCATCTCCATGGCTAGACTGAAATATTTCACTTTTTCTGGTTTCTAATCGTGGAAAGCAATGTAAAGATTATGGTGTCTCTCTATCTTTGCTATTGCCTTATAATCTTCTAAGAATGTCAGCCTATATTACTGGACTTAACTTGGGTGAGCCATATTGTGTCCTCTGAGCCAAGGTTTAGTGATATTTGGAGAGAAGAGGGGGAAAAGACAATAAAATCTTGTGCTGCATGTATTGTCCAAGATAAATAATCTTGTTTTGGTGGTTTCTAGGCATTGGCACTTGTTTGACATATTTGCGTTGTGGATGGTCAATGCTGAAGCCTGAAGTTGGATAGGACATGAAGTGTTGGTCTGTGTTGAAATCTTTGTGCTGTCAAGAATAAGGTGGAAATTGCGAGTTTGCCAACTTGAACAGACTCCCAAGGAAGCATTCATTTATTTGTTACTGTAGATTGAGAAATATCTATAGTCTCTGTTGCTGGATGAATTTGTTGTGATTAATCTTCTTGCTGTGTAGCACTTTGCAAGGCAGGTTATGCTTTAGATATTATCTTATGTGGTTCTCAGTAGAGTCTTTTCACTGAACCTTTATGCTTTGAGCTCGGAAATCTTAACAGCTGATTGTAATATCTGTTCTCTTGATCCCAGCATGTTTCCTTAATAATTTGAATTATCAATGATATAACTGTACTTTTTTCGTCCTTGCCTATGAGGACGACTTTCTTCCTTTGTTTGATGTTTGCTTCCCATAAACATGTCGGATTCTATTGGGCACCCCAAATGTAAGATATGACGTTGAATCTTGAGAAATAAAGTTTTACATTGTCATCTATTTAGTTTTTCTGAGAAAAATAAAAGTTAAATTCTTTTTATACATTTAAGTTTGACGTCCAAATTGCAAAATATCCCCAGACTAGTTTTAATATATTTCAAACTGGGACTGAATTCTACAGCTTAAACAATGGCAGATCCTGCCATTTTGTGACTTGAGTAATTGTAACAGATTTAATTATAAAACACCTCATAGCACCCTCTTTTGCATGGCAAAAGATAATAAAACAAGAAAACTTTGCCTATTTCTACTAATCTTCTTGAATGTGAATGTGCTAACATGAGCCAAACATCGAACAGTTATGCGCTACATGTTAACAAGAACTAAACCATTTACAATTCATGGGTAATCATGGTTAAATGGAATTAAAAAGTATGCAATTGCCGTTTGAGTGCCATTTAACAAATATAGAGGCAAAAATCATTAACATTTATGCTAAAATGGACGGCGACTAATGAGATGCTCAAACTTTTACCTTGCAATCATCTATAATGTATACACTTAATTTTATCCAAAATGATTCAATTTTTTTTATGTTTGATTTAAATATCTCTATTTAAGCCAGCTTAAGTATTTTAATTGAATTCGTGTGAATTTTATGTCAAGATAATTGTTTTTTTAATCATTTTTTATGGATCAAATCTCAACTCAATTTAATATGAATCAAGTCAAAAATTGATAAATTGAACTTGAAGGTCTAAACTTTTATGCAAGTCTATATTAAATTTAAAAAGCCCAGTTTTATTGTGTTTAACATTAATTATTTTGCATCCTGATTATTTCAAAACCAAATCGATCGAATCTCATTAAAAGAATAAGTTCTCTTAACATTTATTTTCTTCATTTATAATAGTCGAAATTGAGATTTTATTTAAAAAAAAAAAACTGAATTCTTTACCATTCGAAATTAACAGATGTTGGTTATCATTAATTACTTTAATTAATTAAAGATTTACTCCCCAAAACTTTTTAACTACAAAAAAAAAAAAAGAAAATAGACAATTGAAGCTGGCACTGTAAAATATTACAAAGCAGGAAGCCCCTTGACCACTACACATAGGCAGCTTCACGCCACAACAAGCCAAAAATTTTCTAGTCTACTTTTCAGATGCTGAAGTTTTGCTGATACAATTACGAAAATAATTAATTCCTATGTCTTATTGCAATACACTGATTATAAAAAGGGAGGGGGAGAAAAAACGAAGAAGAGAAGATTTTCCCAAAGCACCATTCGACCAAAAAGACCCATTTTCACCCCTCAACCATTCAACCATTCAGCCAAAAAAAGAGAACACAGAACACCATTGAAATCACTCACCCTCGACAAACCACCAACAACAATAAAAAAAATTCCACAAGCCTCAACACCCATTTTCCATCACAGTCACACTCTCCCAACACCAGCCTAATCCCCACACCACAACGGAATCCCAACCAACAAATCAGCCATCACACAAACCAACTCCAAACACACCCGTTTATCTTTGACTAGCAACCTATCCCAAAAAAAAATAATAAAAAATAACCGAAACAAGCTCTATTAGGTGACCCCGCTTACCCACAGCTGCCATTGTCAAGCGACCCCAGCCGCTAAACCCACAGCACACAGAAAAAAATCAAAGCAAAAAAACCCAAATAATCTCTAACTCTCTACGGTCACCATCAACCACCATTAAAAAAAAATTCTTCCCTTTTTTTGTCGAAAATAAAAATAAACACCACTAGGCCTACTAGAGTGAGGAACCTAAATTAAAAAGAGACTATACAATAAAAATGAGAACTCAAGAGATGAGAGGCGAGCAGGCATGCCTTGTTTAGAAAAATGGGAAAACATAAGTGATAAAAAGAGACAAGGCTTAGAAATGTTATGGGGGAACGTTAAAGGAAGATTAAAAGGTGAGTCGAGGTTTATTTGTTGAAAATGATGGGGCTTTAGAAAAGTAAAAAAGGAGGAAATAAAAGAAAGGTTGAAAAGGTTAGTTTCCAGGATTGTTTGTTGGAAAAAATGATGGAGGCTTAGAAAGTTAAAAGGAAAAGTTAAGGAATGTGCTTAGGGCCTAGAGGGTTGGTTTGTTGAGAAAAATGAGGAAATAGAAAGTTGCGGGAGTCACATTCCGTAGGCCATCAAGTTGCACGTGGTAGAATAAGCCTATCTAATTCGGGTTTCAAGTTTATACATTTTTGTTAGGAGAAAATAGAGATAAGGCTTATGCCAACCCGACCTGATTTTGTTGACCGATCCGATATGCACATGTTGTCAGCAGTTGACCATCTTGCTTCTTTGACTAGTGTTAGCCCGTTCAATTTCGGTATTTTATTTCTTGTTTGTTTATGGATTAAATTGTATATTTAAAGTTAAAATTTAAAAAAACATGTATTTTTTGTTAAAGGTTTTTTTTAATTAAATGGAAAACTTATAGGTAAATTAAAGAAATAATTTTTTATTGTAAAAAAATAAAATAATAACATGAATTTTTAATAATGAGATTTACTGATTCTTACAAAATTTTTTAATAAAAAATTTTTAAAAAAATATTATCAAAATATTAAAATATTTAAAATGATTTTCAATACGAAAACTTTCATTTACTTTTTATTTAAATTTTTTTATATAATATAATGACATCACAAATTAATTCATATACATCATATTTCACATATAAATTATAAAAGAAAATGAAATATCTAATGATGAAATTCTCAAAAGTTGAGTAATAATTTTCAAAAATTTTATAAGTGAGAAAATTTTTTTAAAAATTATCAAAATATTGAAATATTTAAAAAATATTTTCAATACAAAAATTCTCATTTTTTTAATTTGAATAATTTAAAAAAATAGATAAAAATATAAAATATTTGTAAGTGCATACATTTTTTAAGAAATAAATTTATTTATAAATAATTATATTATTATATAACTTTTAAATATTAATAATTATAAAAAATTTAAAAAATAAAATATATGAAAATGAGATCCTAAAAAGGTTCGAATAGTAATTTTTTAAGAATCTTTAAGTATGAAAATTTATTTAAAATATTGTCAATATATCGAAACATTTAAAATAATTTTTTATAATAATTTCTTATTTTAATATAAAAATAATAAATTTTAAAAAATATTATTTTATTATATTCTACAATTTACTTATTAAATATAAATTTTAATGATAAATGTAAATCATCAAAAATAAGATTTTTTAGAACTTCAAATAAAAATTTTTAAAAGTTTTTTAAGTGAAAAAGTTCCTATTAATATTACCCAAAACATTGAAATATTTTTAAATATTTTTCAATATGCAAAATTCTTATTTATTTTTCAAAAATAAAAAATACTAAAAGAAAAAAAAATATTTTTTATAATAAAAAAATTAAATTTTAAATACCAAAATTAAATCTATTTTAATCAAAATTAAAAAATAACACATAATTAATTAACATCATTTTTATATGTACTATGAGGATACTAATATTTTCTCATACTCGCAAACTCAAACTATTTTATAAATATAAAAATTATTTTTTAATTAATTTTAATTAATTTTAAAATTTTATTAAAAAAATAAATTTTAATAAATGACTAATTAAAGCTAACTAAAAAATATTGGTGAAGGCGCTTTTTGTTGTTTTCAAATTCATATAGTGACTCGAAAAACTCATTACGTCATATAAAATTCAATATGACCTGCAATCTCTCTACATAACATTTTTGCTTCACTTGCTAACTTCATGCTCTTATAAATTGCAAGGCCCGTCAGCTTGTGTGTGGATGCAGGCTCATATTTCTTAGCCTCCTCTTCCTTATCCAACAACAGGGCCTCCCTTGCGGGTATTACATTTTCCCACCAAAATTCCCGTAAAAGTCCATGTATAAGATCCCAATAACTGCGTTCTCTATGCACGCGAAATATTGTGCTTCCATTTGGTGTCCAGCAATACAAGTCAACCCATTCTCGGTCCATTATCTCCATTTGACCCTGAACCTGAGGCATATAATAGAATGGCATAGTTGACCACGGCAGAGCAGTCTCAGGTTTGCCTTTGTTGTATGGACACTTCACTTCCAGAATGCCACCTCCTGGAAAGCAACCAAGAAGACCATCTGGGGATGCCCCAAGCCAATCAAACTGCTCCTTTGAATGGATAGCAAATCCTAATGAGCTAACGTCACGTCCAGTGATACTTCTATACCGCTCAATAGCTGCTGCTTCATTGAGCACACCCCACTCCATAGCACACTTTGTAGAAGATTCCAAAACCTGAGTTTCTGAAGCAAATACTTTTTCATGCCAGAGCTCAGTGCGGCGGTTTCGTTTCCAAAAACCCAAAGCAGTACTGAAGGTGCTTGTGGTCAACTTGTTCCTGCGTAGGGCAAACCATTCATCTGAGCGTTGAGGTGCATCAAATTGGGTGAGGTTGACAGCACGCACTATCGATGATGGCAGATGAACAAAAAGTAGGGTGTTTGGAGAGATATGTGTCATAACGCTGGTGGAAAGGGTTCTTTGACATCCATTTCTCCACCTTCTGCTCATGAACAAGGGAAACACTACTTTGCAGTGAGTGGCACAAAATCTAGTCATGTTGCAATTGCTCATTTGTGGGAACTAGGCATGTGGATAGCTGTTTTTTTTCTGATACAATATCCAACAAAAGCCATGCAAATTTTACATGGATTTCAGTTTCAGGACCAAAAGAGAGCGAACATAATTAGATAGATTTCCTACATCAAATTCTGTTTATCACAAAAAAAAAAAAAAAATACAAATGTAAAGCATACAAAAATCTACAATATATATATATATATATATATATATTCTAAAACCGTAGAAGAAGTAGGCTACAAACCCATAGTACAGTAAACAATATCAGAAAAATTCGTAGCCTTTTCTAATCCTCAAGAAATGCACCATATTCTATTCTTGCTAGTTAAGTAATCAATTTTCCATCTTGGTGGGGTAAAATAAAACCACAAAATGTCTTTCAAAACAGGATTAATGTGAATTTAGCTATTCTTTACATTTATGTTTTACACAACAGAAACAACAGAACTTTCAATAAATCCGAGACATCAAACGGTAAGTCTCATAAAATTACTTGCAAAAATAGTGGATTGTAGAACCATCTGATTATTTCTGTTCTAATAATGCTACCATTTCCTTCCGGCCAATAAGTAACCATATCAGGGTAAAAAAGCAGATTGTGAACTTTTCTATAGCCAAAAAGAATGTACCTTTTCATACAAAATCTTATGTACTATATTTAACCAAAGAAAATAGAGAGCAAAATCACAACTTTCCACACCCAGCTAAATCAACCAAATATTGGTTTTCACAAACAGGTAAAAGAAAGAAGCAAAAGTATCAGACAATGAAAATGTTTATTAAGGAAACTGAAAACTCGCATAAAAGAAAACCCAGTAAAACCAAAAATTTTCAATAAAACAATGGCCAAGAGGTGTTTGATCATATACCTGAAAGAGAACTTGAGTAGCAAAAGTAAATAAGACTGAAATGGGAGCTGACAGAATGGCTATGGGTGTTTCTTGATTTAAAATAAGGGACTCAAATCAGCTTGACCAACATAATTGGATTATAACCAAAACCCCTTTTTTTAATTGTTATTTATCTGGTTTTTTAGAGTTTGGATCTAAAACCAAAGACTACAGCTACGAAAATGAAGGGAAGCAAATGGGTAGACGAAGAGCGCATCGCTTTTTCAATTTTTTTTTCAAACGATGCCGTTCCTTATCCTGTCATAACGATGAATTAAAATTTACAATTCAACCTCTACAAGTCCAAACCAAGCAAATATAATATCTAACTAGTTTTAAACTCGTCCATGCATACGAATATATTTATATATAAATAATTTTTTTAATTGATAATATAAGATTTTAAGTTTATTAACATTTCAAATTTTATATATTTAGTTTTTTATTTAAATTTTGTATATTTCACTATTGTAAAATAAATTAATTATATATTTGATATATTTATGCAATTATCATCAAATTAAAAAAAAAAAAAACTTAAATTGTAATTTATTGAATCTAAGTATTATATAAATAAAAGTCAATCATGTCTTTGATTCCAAAAAATTAAAAAAAATTTCATCTCAAAATTAATCTTAATTTAAAATTATTTGTAATTAATCTGTATTTTTTTTTTTTATAAAAATTAAGACATATAGTTGATTATTTGATTTGTTCATATATGAAAATTGAAAATTATCTATTGCAATTTTTACCATTAACATTAAAATTTTTTGGATTAACATTGTATCTGCCATGATGTGGTTCCTATGAGCATTGATTTTTCTTTCATTTAACACCTTAATAATCACATGTTTTTTATTTGTTATATAATATTGAATAGTATAATAGGAAATTAAAGTAAAAAATCAATATAGAATGTGAAATTAAATAAATCAAACCATTAAATTAAAAATAAACAAACCAAAACAGTACAAATTGAAACAAACCAAGACAGTCATAATTCGAAATATACATTATTGAAAAAAAATAAATTGTAATTGAGAAGGAATATGATAGGTTTACCTTGATCTAACACTAATGCAATTGGAGAATAACCTTTTAAGTAATGCTAGATTACATCAAGATACCCTATTTATAATAGATTTTTTTGGTACAATAAAAAATAAGAAGGCTTTTAATTAATACAAATTAAATTAGGCATAATTTATGGAAATTTATTATAATGGATTCATTTAAATTTCAGCAAGTTTTTTCAAATGCTATATCTATAATTTAGAATATTTTATTAGAAAAATAAGGTGAATCAATTAAAAATTTAAAAACAAATAAATATAATTAATTCATTGAAAATATTTTAAAATTTATATAAAATCAAATCAATTGATAATAATAATAATAATAATAATAATAATAATAATAATAATAATAATAATAATAATAAATGCAGGGTACTTGACGATTGTTAAAACTCATCCAGATGTCAAAATGTGAGGCCATCTACATTAGAAATTTCCTCTTTTACTAAAAATTTTAACTTATATATATATATATATATATATACACACACACACACAATTACACTAACACACTTCCTTTTAGGTACGATTTGTAAACAAATTGTTGGTTTATTTTTAGAAATATTTTGATTTGATTCTTGTTTGATAAAAAAATTTATTTTGTTTGTTAGAGCTTGATTTGTTTGAATAATAAAATATTTACGTTTGATTCATATTTGGTTTAATCAAATTAATCGAATTCATTCATAAATATTAAATGAATATATATAAATAAATATATTTATAAATAATAAATAAATTATAATTAAATAAATTTAAATAAATAAATCTAACAAATATAAATAAACTTTAAAATAAGTTTAAGATAAAAAATAAAAATATAATTTTATTATTATTATAAATAAAATATTAAATAAATAATAAACGAATAAATTTATAATGAATCTTATATAAATTTATTTGTGAATATAAATGAATTAAATAAATTTATATTCGTATTTAATTTATTTAATAAATAAATATAAACAAATAAAAAACGATCACATTTATAAATTATTCATCAAAAACTTTATTCATATACACATGCTTTTAAGGTTAAAATTCATTTCCCCGAAATTATCATTAAAAATAAAAATCCCACCACCACAATTAAATGTCCTTTTTTATGTACAAAATCACCGACTTGAGTTAAAATAATAGTAATACTATATTTTAATATTTGGCAATATATTAATATTATTTTGTTGTTTAATCTTAGAGTATTCTTCTAATTAAAAAATATTAATACATTAGCAATTGTACTATCTTTTCATAAAATATTCAAAATTTAATTTTAATGAAATAAAATTAAATTTAAATAAAAAATACTAATACCAATGAAAATTAAAAAAAAAAATCAAAAGAACTAATTAAAATGAAAGTATCAAAATGAGTACTTAATATATAAAAAGACTAGAAAGGTACTATTTATTTAAAAAATTAATGTTATGCTTTAAATTATATTGAAATTTTTAATATAATATATACATTTTAAAAATATTTAATATAATATTTGAATTATAAATATATTAATTAATATAACATTTATTTTTATTTTCATTAATTTTAAATGATAATAAGTAAATAGTTAATATAATATATACATTTTAAAAATATTTAATGTAACATTTGAATTATAAATATATTAATTAATATAACATTTATTTTTATTTTTATTAATTTTAAATGATAATAAGTAATGGATAAATAATTATTTAAATATTTTATTAATTAATAAATTTATAATTTAAATATTATATTATAAATTTTTAAATTTTAAATATTATATTTAATATTTTATTATAATTTAAGAGCCTGACATTAATCCTATTTAACATAAAAAAATCAATTACCCGTTTGTTCTTTTGATCAATATGAATTATTATCCATTATAAAAAATTAAATTGGAAAAAAAAAAAAAAGAAAGGATTGGAATTTGGTTAGGGAGAAAGGGTAAAACGCAACGCAGAACAACGGCCATAAGCAAGGCGGAAGGAAAGCGACCAGTCCACTTCCAGCTCATCTTCTTTCATAGACTCACTCCCCTGGCTTGAACTCAACGCTCTTTCAATCTATATTTCTCTGCTAAATCCTCAAAAAAAAAAAAAAAATCAAATCCCCCATGATTTCACTTCTCCTTCTCCTTGTCAAAACCCTCAATCTTTTCAACTCCTAAAAAAAGCCTAAACCCCTTTAATCAACACAAAAAAAAAAAGGAAGAAAAGAAGAACAAAGAAGAAAAACCCATATCCCATTCGGATTCAAGACCGCCATGTACTTATCGGAGAAGCCCCGTCCAATAGATTTATACAAGGAGGATGTTCCTGCTACTGCCCGTGACATGATCATCGAGGTCACCACCAATGGGGATTTGCCACCTCACCACCACCCTCCTCCTCACCAACAACAGCAACAGCAAATGATCTTAGGAGAAAGTAGCGGCGAAGACCCAGAAGTCAAAGCCCCCAAGAAACGAGCCGAGACCTGGGTCCAAGACGAAACCCGTAGCCTTATCGCCTTTCGAAGGGAAATGGATAGTCTTTTCAATACTTCCAAATCGAACAAGCACTTGTGGGAGCAGATATCGGCTAAGATGAGAGAGAAAGGGTTCGATCGATCGCCAACTATGTGTACGGACAAATGGAGGAACTTGTTAAAGGAGTTTAAGAAAACTAAGCATCAAGATCGAGGGAGTGGGTCAGCTAAGATGTCTTACTATAAGGAAATTGACGAGATTTTAAGGGAAAGGACGAAGCATCTTTATAAGAGTCCAACTCCTCCCCCTCCTAAGCTTGATTCCTTTATGCATTTCGCTGATAAGGGTATGCGCTATTTTTTGAGGTTTTTTTCCTTTTTTTTTTGGCATTAAAAAAGTGGGGCTTTTATTGAATTGTTGTTGGGTTGTTACTGGATGATGTTGATGCGGACTTTCTTTTTAAAGGCTTTTTTTGGATCTAAGAATCTGTTTTTGGGTGATTTGGCTTTAATGGATTTCCAATGTGAATACCGATGTTTGAGATTTAGACCATCTGAATCCTTTTTTGTCTAAAGGCTGCTATAATTTTTGAAGTTGAATTTGTTATAAAGTTACTAAAGTGATGGCATTTTTGGCCAAAAAAAGTGATGGTATTTTATGAATTATAGTTGAGAAAAGAAATTAGTTTTGGTTCTTTTAAATGTAGGAGTTTCTTTGATTGTAAATGACTTGACTGAGTAGTCTTCTGTGGTTGAGAAGAAGGCTTGTTTGCTTTCATGTATCCTTATGAAAGTTGGTACTTATAAAACTGCTGCTTTTAAATGACATCTTTATTATGGAGCATAGAGCCATAGACGGACAAATATTTAACATGTATTGTATCTACTTGTGAAGAAGGTGTCATGTCTACAGAACAAATGAGTTATTCAAAATGTGATATGGTGTTCAAGTCACTTGAAGCATGAATCATGCTGAGCAGAAAATGAATGATTATTCCACAAAGCAAACTTCAAGATATGGCATAAAGGCAGCAGGCTTCTCTGGTTTTCTTAAAATTTAGAATACCACCTTTCTAATAGGAGAAGGGAAGTAGTATGTTGATATAATCAAATCTTATTTGGAAATTGGTGTATGGTCTATTGATTTCCTCTCTGTTGTCTTATGTTGTTTGATCCATTTTCCAATACCTTCATTCTACTTTTACGATGTTTTCTCAGGGTTTTGTCTTATACAGACATAATACCTCGCTGTTGCATTTCACTTCTTGAAATTAGTACATAAGTTTTAGCCCCCCCTGCTTGGGGATTTCAATCTCTCTCTCTCTCTCTCTCTATCTTACTCTGTCTCTTTGGGTGGAGGAGAGGGTATTCATGTACGCTACCTGATGGATAGTTGTATTGTTTCTATATTCAGTTTGCAACATACATTCAGTCTTTTTTCTATTACCATGATTTTAATAATTGTCACCAATATGACTTGACTCTTCCAGGTTTTGAGGATACCGGCATATCATTTGGTCCTGTTGAAGGTATGTTGTTGTAATTTACGTTTGCTCTCTTCTGGTTTATCTTGAATTTTCTTTTTCACTCCTTTATGAGCTTGTAGTAATATTTTTCCTCAAGTTAATTTGGGTAAATCATAGAATTTATTGGATGCAATTTCAGTAATCTTAACAACCTTGTACCTCATCAACTTCTTACCTGGATTTAGGGGCTTTACAAGGCATAATCAGAGAAGAGTGTATCCATCTGGAAACTCCTATTTGCAGAGAACCTAGTCATGAGCGTATTTTTTATAGGGCCCACACTGTTACCTGTCATATTAATCTGGTAATCTTTAGGTACTGTCATCCTCTATTTATTTCATCAGTTAAACCGGGTGTACTTTTTATAACTTAAAACTGAACAATCACTTTTTCCTGTTGTTAACATCTTTCAAGAAGCCAAGACACCACCATGGACAGCCTTGCTTGTTTCTTTCCCTTCATTCTCAATCTTCTTGCAGTGAATTCGGACCTTTTAATTGTAGTGACACTGTCATTAGCCTTGTAGTGAACCCAACTTACAACCTGCTCCCACCCAGGATAAGTTATTCTGAGAGTGAAATAGTCATGTGCTGATAGAAACCCATGTTGATTATCTACACTGTCTTACTCTAATGCTATCCTCATTTAACGGATCGCTCAAATAATATCCTATGGAAACTGTTCTTCTAAAGAGTCTTTGCCTAGTGCACCATTAGCATCTTTAGACAGTCGATTGTACATTTCATCATGTCTGCCCTTATCTTTCCATTTGAAGGATTTTCTTAAGTCTGCACAGGACTATAAGTAGTTTTTGTGCCCCAAAAGCTTGTTTTTAGCAACCTTTAGCTGCAATCAATGTACATGTTTTTATTTTTTGGGGGCATACACAATGCTGAAATGTTGTTTATTGAATCTTGAAAAAGTTGAGATAATTTAATTTAGTGAATGACATATGCATCTATCAATGGGGTTCATAAGCCTGCAATCTATGCTATGTGGTTACGCAATCTTATGCCTTCTATTTATTTTCAATCTCAGTGGAACTTATACCATAGCATACTTGCCTTTAACCATGTTGCCTTTTTCTAAAACTATCTTAAAAGGTTCTGTATCTCATTCTGTTTATGCTTTCTGGTGTGCAGCTAGTGGCAGGCCAACGCTTAATCTTGAAAGACGTTTAGATCATGATGGACATCCTCTTGCTATCACTGCAGCTGATGCTGTTGCAGCCGGTGGAGTTCCTCCTTGGAATTGGAGAGAGGCCTCTGGAAATGGTAAGTTTTGTTTGAATTTTACCAAAAGATACGATGGTTTTAAATGGAGCACAATGTTCAGGTGTTTTGGTGGTGCATCACGGGCACATTTTCTTTTGGATGTGCTCAACTGAATGCGTTTGTGTTAAATGCTCTTGATTATGAGCATTGGCTCCCAAATCTTGTCTGAGCTAAAATTTTTGACTCTGGAAATCTGTATATGGACATCTCATTCTCTTTCACACCCTTTTTGGTAGGTGGGGACTGTCAGTCATATGGAGGAAGGGTTATAACTGTCAAGTTTGGGGACTACACCAGAAGGATTGGTATAGATGGTACTGCTGATGCCATCAGGGAGGCAATTAAATCTGCTTTTAGATTGAGAACTAAGCGTGCATTTTGGTTGGAGGATGAAGACCATATAGTTCGTAGCCTTGACAGGGAAATGCCTTTAGGGAATTATACTCTCCACCTTGATGAAGGTAACATTGACATGCATGCTGTTTCTGCTAGCTTTCTGACGAAAAACTTTCTCAAGAAATTGATTTCATAAAAATATAATAGATGAAAGATACAGCTCTGAATGATGTGATAATCTTCTATGATTCTATCATCTACAAAGGATGGGTAAGGATAAAACCTATAGATGTTTTACCCTACCAAAATCCCCACAATGTAAGAGCCTTGTGCATTGGCCAACTTTTAACATTCTTATCTATTGTCTGTTGATCTAGCCTGCACTTAATAATTCAGAGTGGCTTCCACATGAAATATTACATAGCAAACATACCTGCAGACATTTTTTTTTGGCTCAATTTCCAAATATACCCTCAAACGTCAGTAAAAAAATGGAATTAAGCCCCTGACCTTTTATTATGTCTAAATAAGACTAAATTTTTTTTTTTTTTGTAATTATAGTCATAAACTTTTAAAATCAATTAAAAAAATCCAATTGAAACAACTTTTAAGTTGTTTTATAACTTAAGTTATCCTATAAAAAGTCTACTTGGAATAACGAAAGACTATTATGACTTGTCACGTGTTTACTAGCGTAGCTAGATAATAAATGATGTCTTCCATTGTTCCAATTGGATTTTTTCATTCATTTTAAAAGTTACGGTTATAATTACAGACAAAAAATTATAGCTTTATTTACATGCAATAAAAGGTAAGGAGCATAATTTCATTTTTTACTCAAGTTTGGGGTATATTTGGGTAATAAGCCTTTTTTTTTTCATTGGTCGAAGAGAATAACTAGGTACTTGCATTTTTCTGTGTATTTTTGAACTTCTGCTTTCAGGTTTGGCTATAAAAGTGTGCCACTATGATGAGTCAGATCATATACCGGTCCACACAGAGGAGAAGATTTTTTACACAGAAGATGATTACCGTGAATATTTGGTCCGCCGGGGCTACACAGGTCTCAGGGAGATTGATGGATACAGAAACATTGATAATATGGATGACCTCCAAACTAATGCTCTATATCGAGGTGTTAGCTGAAAGCTGGTGCATCTTGCTTGCACAAATGCAGTGCTCTCGAAAGGCTATAATAAAGTTGCCTTGTCTTGACATAAGTGTGCATGTAGGATTAAAAAATATGCTCCGGTGCATTTGAAAATTGTGATTATGTTGTTCGCATTCGCGCTTACTAATCCTGAACCCTATAACTCAGCTGTTAATATTATGTTGTAATGTATTGACTCCAGTACAGTTTCTGTTCATGCGGCCTCGATGCCACTTGTTTGTACATATGCATTTGGGTTGAAAACAAAGAATTTCTTGCTAGGTTTTAGATGGGGTCAATTTTACAGCATTTGATTGCAGTCAGCAACTTGAACTCCAGTTTTGAGTACTTATTTTGCTTTTCGTTTTCTCTGACATAATATTGCATCTTTGCATTGAACCTTATTCTCAAGTGATGATGCTATAGCTCCATGCCTAGACCACAAGCAACCAAATACTCTGAAATCAGGGTTGAACGACCGCCAAGATCAGTGGCAGAAAGTGCTGAAAGCAAACTTCAATAACGCATCATAAATGGCAGAGGATGCATTATGTTATATTTGACTATTTTCATCGTTTGTATTTGAAACCTGGAAGATCAGAATTTCCTTCCTGAGCTTTTCATGGTTTATACATGCTAGATTGGACAACCATGGGATTATTATGATGTGGGATTTATGACTATAGCGGAGGCTGCCATTTTTTATGATGATTTGATAAGAATTGCGAGATAGGTGGGAGAGGCAGCGGTAATTCCTTGGCTGAACTAAAGAACGTGAATCGACATTATGTTGTAAGATAAAATGAACAGAACTTGAAGTCAGTGAAAGAACAGTAGTGAATTTCATTGGCACCTAAGTTAATACATTTGAAAGATTTATGTTCACAACAAAACACAAATGAAGACCCAAAAACACCCAAAAGCATTTTCATCTTTCCTGGCAATCTTGGAAATATGTGAATAGAAGATTCACAGATTAATCATAAACCCACAAGTGAACAAGGAAAGATATTGCAGTAGAAAAAAAAAAAAAGACAAGAAGTTTCAATTACTCCACTGCTCTTCCCATTCGTCATTCTTGTATGATACAAGAGTGTCAACCTTGTGTATCTGCATGATCCCAACATACAAATACTTAGAAGCGAAGGAAAAGTTTACCCTTTTATTAATGTAACTTGATTTGCTTTTGCAACATTACCTTGGTATCAAAAGAATGCAACTTCACCATTTGAGGATTTGCAATCAACTTGGGGTCACTCTCAATCCAAGTGAATGGTACTGTAACATCTTTATCAGTGTATGCCAATACATCAAACACACCTGGAAGATCAAACAATACAAGTGAGAGTGTGAGACATCTGTTGAGGAAGAAGATGACCAAATTGCCTTTAATCAGATGTCTCTCTCTTACATGGTTCATCAAGGCATGGCAAGTAAGTAATACTCGAGGCAATCTGTCTCATGATTGCCTGTATTTCTCGCATAATTTCCTTGTCACTCTTTTCCCTTGACACACTGCAATCAAAGACACAAAGGAGAGACCAATGAAAATTTGAACTCGAAGTTTAGTTCAGTTAATTCATGCAACCACCTTTAAGAGCTGGTATCCAGCAAGTCTGGATTTGAATCCTAACACTTTCAACCCCCTCTTCTATTTATAAGATGCAGCATCATTTGTACTAAAAAAAATCATCTCTCAGATTTAACACAAAAATACATCTGTCAGGTAAAAGAAAAAAAGGTCATCAAATATTACCCTTTCTCAACAACCTCACTATCAGTCTCAATGCTAAAATTCCACCTCTCCAAGACCTCATTGGTTGCCTTGCTCATGATAACCAACACAACCCTCTGCAGCTTCCCAGCTTCCAGCCATTCTTTCACAACAAATTCAAAATCAAATCAAGTCATCAACAATTTTCATTTTCAGAATGTGAGAAATGATTAACATTTTCCTACATTTTTTAACAAGTACCAAAAATATCCAAAGGCAAAGATTTACCAGAAAGTTGAGCTGTTAGGCTGGTAATGAAGGATTTAACACTTTCATCTTGAGTGAGCAACAATGGAAGCCCATATTTCTTCACTTTCGCAAAACTTTCTTCTGGATAAACTCCTCGATTGTACAAAATGCTAAACAAAAGCAAATTATTTATTAAACCAACATCATCAATCTCTTTACTTATACCTAGCAATTTTTATATTTGTGTGGATGTGTAAATATAAAATATATTTTTTTAATTTTGTTAAATCTATATGTGATTTTTGTTAAAGTTTTAAACCGTATCATTTTCATGTTTTTATTAGTATTGTTTTCCTATCGTATCAGTTTTATATTGCCAGGTCTATTTTTACTCGAAAAAATCTAGCTTCTGAAAAATCAGTAAGAGACACAAGGACTAGAAACCCAGAAATAAACCTCCACTCATCTTTACCTATTCGCCGCATATCCTGGAAAAAAGAAAGAACAAAATCAGGCAAAATTTCTCAACCCCCCCTCCCAAAAAAAACCCAAAAAATTGTAAATCACATACCAAAAAACTCGCTTACGATTGCTGCTGAGCCTCGAAGAGTGATTATATCTTTGGCAACGGTTCTTAACGCCATTCAACTTCTTCTACGATCAAATTTTCTCTTGTATTTGAAAGTAACAATATAATTGGTAAAATCAGGAAAAAGGAAAAGTGAATTGGGGATTAAGTAAGTAGAAAATTAGATGAAGAGGAATATGGGGTGATGAGTTTTCTGGAAATATGGCTTTGAGAAAACATGAATCAGAGAAGAAAAAAGCAGAGTAACGGCTAGTTTCTTCATGTCCGTCTCGGGGCGAACAGCAACTTTTTAAATTGCGCTTTTAACGGTAAAAAGTGGGTCCGCATTTTTTTTTAAGTACCAATCGTGTGGCCACGTAGGATAATTAGAAAGGACGGCTACTTTGAGCATGTTTGGTTCTGTAATTTTTCGTTGAATTGAAACAATTAATTTATTTATTCCCAAGCTTTTAACCTAATAGTTAAATGTGTTTGAAAATATATCAAAAATTTGATTTCGAATCAATTTTTTTTTTATTTGTATTAAGATTTTGTCTTCCTGAGGTGATTAAAAAAAAATCAATTTGAAAAACGAAGTGTAAGTTTATATTTTTTGTGATTGATTTATGATTTTAGTTTTAAAAAGCTTAGTGATTAAGCAAAACTAGTGTTTAGCCCCACTTGGTGGGATTAATTTTTGTACATCAATAAATTATAAAGATATAAAATTATAAATTATAAAACAATGATCATATTTTATACATAAGATGATAATTATTTGATATTATATTTGATTTGTATATAAAAAAAATAAGATTGCAAGAAGTTAGGATTAATCATCTTCTTAATATATGATAATTCAAATCTTTCAAAATAGAGAATATTATTTTTAATCTATAAGATTGAATTTATATGTGCTATTATACTTATAAAAATTACATTAATAATTTAAATTATATAAATTTTGAAGAATAATATTTTTGACCAACAAATAAATTATCATATCTTAATCTTTATACACATCAAATACAATATAAGATGACATTATTTAATTTAATTCTATTTCTAATATTATTTTATTTTATCTTATTATAATCTTGTACACTAAATGCTTTCTAAATGTAATTGATACTTGATATTTAAATATATTTTATATTTTTATTTTTGTACAAAAGTCTTTTTACATTATATATAAAAAGTTTAACATTGTTGATGGTGTCTTAGGTGGTGGTAGGATGAAGGGTGACTTGGAGATTGTATAAGGTGTCATAACTGTTTTAGGGACAGTTAGACGAATTTAAAAAAAAAAAAAGTTGTCACCAATCTTTTTGATTAAGTGTAATTGATCACCTATTAAAATTGACATTTTTAATAAAATATGAAATTAATTAAATTTTATTAAAAATATTATTTTATACAAAACAGTTTGGATTGGGGAGTTAGTTAAGCATAAAAAATGATTAGCATCTTTAATACCAACAAAAAGGTCGTAAATTTGGTATTTAAAAATAATTTCCTTGACTTCTTTTATTTATTATAATGTTGGTTTTTTTTAATTTTGATTTTGATTTTAATTTTTTTATTATTTTATTTTATTAAAGAAAAATAAATAAAAACCTTATTATTGAAAGAATTTTTAAAATGTTCAATACGTTGGTAACATTGAAAGAAAATTTTTTTCACCTAGAGATTTCTTTAGTATCTTTACTTGAAAAACCTTAAAATCCCATTCTTGGAAACTTTTATTTATTTTTCAAAAATTAAGTGATATGCATGCAATACAAATGATGAAATATTGGTAGAAATATTTTATTTACTCTTTTTTTTAATTGCTTATCGTTTTTTTAAAAAATTTTAGAAGAAAAGAGAAATTTTAATTATATTGAAAATTTTCTATAAACACTCTAATAGGATGACAGTATTTAAAAAAACTTCACTTAGAGATTTCTTAGTAATCACTACTCAGATTATCTTAAAATCTCATAATCAGATAAAATTTTTTTTTTTTTTTAAAGAAATGATGGAATTTAAAATTACCAAAAATTTAAAATTTATTTTCATTTAAAAAGATAGTTATTTTGGAACATAAAAAACTAAAATTATAATAATAAAAAAGATAAAACTAAATTAAAAAAAAAAAAAAACTAGGTCGATCAGCAGCCTGATCAATGGTCTAGGCAGTTTTCACATGGTTCAATGGTCTAGAAATGGTTCAAAAGTGGTCAAAGGTTGTTATTTATGATTTTGTTTGGTTCGATTTGGTTCGAAGTTGATTCAATTGGACCGGTCTGATTGAGAAAAGCTAGAAAATGAGTCAAGTTCATAGACCTTGGATCTAGGTTGGGTCGACCCACGGATCATCTGGGATGCAAAATGACATCATTTTAATTTTTTATATATGCCAACATTTGTTTTTTTTTTTCAAATCATTTTATCCCTTTATAAAAAAAATCCAAATAACAAAAAAAAGAAAATTTTCTCAACCATTCTTCCCATCATAACGCCACTATCGATGATTGAAAAATTCCTGAAAATCACAAAAATGATCTCATCGACCTTTTGATCTCTGATTTGGCCTTCATTTTACAAAAAGTAATTTTAAATGGCCTAGATTGCAATTGAAAGTTTTGGCTAAAATGATTTTTTATTATTATTTTTGTTTGTTTGGCATTGTTTTTCCCCATTCTAGGCGATGTGTTTCTTCTGATTTTTGTGTGTCGTGTTAGATTTTTGCTAGCTGGAACAAAAAATTTTTTAACAAAACTTTTTTTCTTTGAATTCATTTTACTTTTTTTTTGTAGAGTTTTTTTTTCTCCTCTCTGGTTTCTATCATCTCTTTTTTTTGGAAGGCTTGAATGGCTCTATTTATATAGCAATTGAAAAATTAAATCCTAGATTTTCTTGGATTTGAAAAAGGAATGGTGATGGTTGTTGCCAATTCCATCGTAGCATGTGGTGCATTTAATGCACTGAAGACTTTTGATGAAAAATGAACCAAAAAAAAAGAAGAAAACAGATAGGAGAAAATAAAAGAAAAAAGAAAGAAAGAAAAAAATAAAGTAGAAATAATAAAAATTAAAATTAAAATAAACTAAAAATAAGAATAAACAAAAAAAATTTTAATTTGGTCCAATGAATAATCTGAGATTAGATCAAAATAAATTTAAATTTTACTTAATCTTTTTAGATAAAATTAGATGTCTATAGTTACTCATTTTTACACATTCATAAGAATCAAGAATAAGGTAAAGATAAAATACAACAATTATGTCCGAGTGAACCCATTTACCATAAAAATACAAACAAATCACTTGTAAATACCTTTAAATTGGAATAATATGACTTGGATCAAACTAAAGTATGAAAATGAAATAACTTGGACTAAACTGACGTCTGAAAATAAAATGACTTTAATTGAACCGAAGTCTAAAAATTAAATGACAGAGATTGAACAATAAGTCGAGAAATAAAATGACAAAAACTAAACCACAAGTCAAAAATTGATATGATCAGGTTTGAACCACTAGTCAAAAATTGAAAGAACATGGATTTAACCACAAGTAAAAAATTATGTGATCGAGACTGAACCACAAGTCGATAAATTAAAATGATTAGGATTGAACCATAAGTAGAACAATGAAGTGACCTAGACTGAGATGAAGTTGAAAATTAAAATGATAAGGATTGAATCACAAATTTGAAAAATAAAGTGATTGGGACTGAGCTGCAAGTCAAAAAAATAAAATTACTAGGATTGAACCACAAGTTGAAAAATGAAGTGACCTAGATTGAGCTAAAGTCAAAAATTGAGATAGCCAAAATTGAACCACAAAATGAAAAGGAAATGATCGAAACTAATCACAAGTCGAAAATAAAATGATTGAGATTGAATCACAAGTTAGAAAATTAAATGACTAAGACTAAGTCAAGATTAAAAATGAAGATGATCAGATTAAGCTAATGTAAAAAATGATGAGGATTGAACTGAGTCAACGTTGAAAATCAAGATGACCGACTGAACCAAGGTTGAAAATGCATTGATCAGAATGAGCCAAGGTAAAAAATGAATATGACAGGACTAAGCCAAGGTAAAAAATGACTAGATTTAAGCCTAAGTCGATATAAGAAATCAAAGATCTTGAAAATAATATGCATATGTTTAAATATCTTGCCTAGAGTTTCTAAGGATTATGCTTAGAGGACTTATAAATCATGAGACTAAAATAGATTCAGCTTGGATAACTTATGAATCTTGTCCAGAAAACTTAGAGATTATGTTTAAAGATTTTATAAATTTTAAGACTAAAATAAATTCAGCACAAAAGACTTATGAATCTTGCCTGGAGAAATTAAAAATTATGTCCAGAGGTCTTATAAGTCTCAACATTAATGCATGCTCCTTTTAATATAGGCTCCACAACTTTAGAAACTTAGAATATTCTACCTAGAAGACTTATGATTCTCAACACGAAAACATATTCAGCTCATAAGACTTACAAATCTCACTTGAAAGATTTAGCGATTATGCTCGAAGGTCTTATAAATCTCAACATGAGAACAGATTTAGCTAAAAATACTTACGAATCTTGTTCGAAGGACTTAGAGATTATGCTTGAAGGTCTTACAAATATCTACACTTATTAATATTCATCTAAACAGAGGTTTCATAACTTTAAAATTTTAAAATATTCTACCAGAAGCACTTGCGAGTCGTTCTTATCTTTACTTGAAGGTCTTGAGGATTATGCCCGGAAGACTTACAAATTATTCTAATTTTTGTTCGGAGGTTTTTAAATTTTCTCATTTTGAATATCTTAAAAAATTTTCATTACTTTTTATCTCAAGAAATTTTCTTTTAAATCTTTCAGTTATCTTAATATTCTTTCTTTAAATTTCATTTCATTTTTTTAATCATTCTTTAAAAAAATTCCTTTTTCATGCAAACATTTTTTTTTCAAAAGCTTGAAAATTAATCACAATGATGCAGATGCAAATCTGCAAATACAAATCTACAAATGTTAAATACAAATGACCTTACCAAGATAAAAATGCTCACTAGATGATGTGAATACATGAACTGAAGATGATGCAAACATAAATATCCTACCAATGATGAGAATGTTTTTTTCTATGATGCAAAATGCCTTTAACAAATGCAAATGAAAATTCATTACCATGGATGCAAATGCTTAAAAAAATATTTTCTTTTTTATTCAACTCTAAAAAATCATTTTTCTTTTCCCTCATCAAATTATTATTTTTCTTTCCCTTCCTTCCTATCATTCTTTCTGTTCTTTTTTCACTTTCATTTTTTATTCACATTTTCAAAACTAATCCTACAACATACATATGATTAGTGTCGACTTTATAACCTATGGCAAATTTAAGAAAACAAGCCACCATGTTTTCATTACTTTCTAAATGCATCTCAATGGAACATATCTTCTCATTTCAAAAAAAAAAATTACCCCAACATCGTATGCATTTATTCACATTTT